TACCTGGTTCGGCAAGTTGCCTACGTCCACGGGGCAAGGAGGGGGGAGTTTATACTATTAGAAATCAAGAGAATACAAATAGGATTACAAATCTTACCAAAACCCCACAAAATAAGCTCTCTAGATCTCTCTCAAAGCCTCCCACAATGGATGCAACAAAAACCCTCTTTTGGCAGCTCAAAACCCTCCTCACATAACCCTAAAATTCGTGGTTAGGGTTATATCCAAGCTCACAACGAAGCAGGTCTAGAAAACTAAACCTGGCCCAAACCCGCATCGCGGTCGACCGCAGAGTACATATTGCGGTCAACCGCAAAAACTCCAGAGAGTTTCCCAACTTCTCGGTTCGGGCACGGTCGACCATAGAACCATGTACGGTCAAGCGCTAAAAAATCCAGAGCCATACTACATTGTTGTGCACGTTGCGATTGACCACAGCGCCATGTGCGGTCAACCGTGAAACTGTCTGCTTGTTCCCTCATGGATTTTGACGCCATTTCTACAGGTGTCAACATCAAAATCATGGTTTAAATGCAAATAATTACATGCTTGATGATGCATTATAACCAATGCTCTATGAGATTAAGTTAACATTTTCATCCATCATCTCAACATCCAATTACTCTTATCATATAGACAAAGCTTTATTGAGTGGTTGAATACAAATTTTCACATGGTTGATATTCTCATAATTATGCACCTCATCTACTAAAGTATAGCGTACTACTAGATTGTGATCTTTTAGTTGTTTATCAATTTAATGTCACTTTTTTGGTGACAAAATTGTGCCTAATACAGTAATACCCCTAGATATTCAAGTGCTTCTTCTGTTGGATGCGACACCATATAACACTTTTTTATTATTTTAAGAATAATTAAATACCATATAAAACTTGCGATATGATTTTGGCAGGCGCAATGAAGGAGACAGAATGATATTAAATTTGCGTTCAAATTTATGTTTCTAATGCTATTTAATCTAAGGTCAATGTTGAATTTAGTTAAATATTAATTGACTGATGTTTTATGTTTTTTTCAAGTGAGAAAGGGTGTTAGGTTTCCTTTCGCTACTTCTCCAAGGACGAATATAATAAAGGTATACTTCAATCGTTTACGGAAACAGAGGAAGAATTTTCGATATTGTTCTTATAAACTCAAGAATTAATTGTAGCTAGAATTTCTGTGGAAAAAGCCGGAGAAAGGAATTTTTCTCCGAAAAGGAAACTAAAGATAAACAATCATGGATCAAAGTCTCTTATCTCTCTTTTCTTCTCTTTTCTTTTCTTTTTTTTTTGTCATATTTTATAAATAAAAATATCACAAAAAATAAGTGTTTTAAGATACCACTAAAAGTACACATATGTGTTTATCATGTTTTTTATTCTTGAAGCAGATTGTTAGTGAGTGATCAATGATAATATATTAAGATAACATGCACGTGCTAGCACTACGTACAAATGTGGATCATCACCAACAGCACACTTTAATAAAGTATGTTAAACCAATACTAGTGTGTTTAAAAAAAAATTATCTCTAATTAGTATAGAAAAACTTTCGATCATGTGGTTTATCATAAAATCCTTCAGCTTTTTACGTCCCGTCCTTCTTTCACTAACGCGTATAGCAAAAAAAGTAAGTCGTCAGAGAGGAAAAAGGAACTTATATGTGAAAATGAAAAATATTTGATAAAATAGTTGGAATAAGATGTATATGGAGACTCATTTAATACATATGAGATGGAGAAAAATAATATCAAGAGTTGTTGCCGTTAATATATTACTTTTGATCCTAATGTATATATTATTTATTAGTAAAACCAAAACGGCTAAATTGAATATTAGAACTTTATCTATAATTACCAACCAAGATAGTGTTGTGCCAAAAATCCGACCTTAGAGAGAGGCCACCACGCGTGTATCACGAGTCAACACGTACGATCGAGCTCTGACCAAATTAAGAACGAGTGCCGACGCGGCGACGCCCAACTAAGGCAGAGCAGTGGGTCGCCGTTGCGCTGGCTCAGCCATCTCAACCCACCCTTAGCTCGTCTTCCCCACAAAGGAAAAGGATAATATCAAACGGTCTACGTGTGAGCTGGAGGATCTTAACTAATGGGTGGCACTAGGGGCACACCCCCAACCACAACTCCAACCACACCCCCTCAGGGGCCCCCCCCCAACCACAACTCCAACCACACCCCCTCTCTCATTTCTAAAGTATACCGGACTCCACATGAGATTTTAAAAATTTAAAATCTCATGTGGGGCCCGGTGTACTGTAGCAAATGAGAGAGGGGATGTGGTTGGAGTTGTGATTGGGGGTGTGCCCCTATCATTTTCCTTAACTAATTCACTAGAGGGGCAACTATGCCATCATCTGGCACATCTTGTCTACGTTCTCTGTAGCTAGCACAAACAGGCATAAATACCTCCACCAATCAAGAGAGACACGTAGACAATTCAGTTATAAATGAAACTCCCGGCTAATGAGATCACATCTTCTTCTTCTTCTTCTTTTCCTGATTTGTCCCTTCAAATCAGCATAGAAAGAGGTAAACATGGTAAGAAAAATGTGTAGTGAGGTGTCTGGTTTGGCGTAGTTGGAGCAATACATCAAAAATTTTAAAAGTGTTTTTGGTTAAATGCTGCTGCAACACCAAAAGGTTGTCGTAACAATAAAATAAGATAAAAATAAATGTGTTGGAACAACACTCAAGTTAAGAGTGTTCCCATATCTAGAGTTGGGACACCAAGATGCTTATAGAAATATTTGTTGTTTCAACTCTTCTTGAACCAAACACATTATTTACCATATTAATTTCTATCTTATATATTTTTCTTCCATATTTCTGTGACTTTCTTCTCGGCTTAGTTTTGGAGAGTCATCAGAGTAGCCAGCTTCGATACCTTCAAACCATCTGTTCATCTTGTAGGTGGAGGCCTAGCATGAAGACCAGACAACTGGGAGTCGGAGATCCCTCAACATCAACTCCCAGATATTGAATAAAATAGATTTTTCTGTTATGTATTATCTTCAAAAACATATTCTTCCCTTGAATATGCTGATGAGGTTGAATTTGATAGAGGAAGAAGAAGAGGAACAGAGGAATAAGATAAAGAGAAGAACTAGAGGATAAGCAAACAATAATTATCATTCATATCATCACCTCTATTACAACAACTATATATAACTACACTAATATTATCTCTACTCACTAACACCACTCTTCTCTCTACAGCTACCCACAAAACATAACTATCCACTAAGTAAATCACAAGTTACACAACTACCCACTTATCCACGTTGTGAATGGTGGTGGCACGTATCATTGTAGCTTGAATACGGTGAATCTTTGATCATGAATAGTTGTGGACGTTTACAGTGATGGCCTAAAATGAACTTCTCATCACAATAGTAACATAAACCCTTCTCTCGACGGTCTCGCACCTCTTGGTTGGTGATTTGACGGAATGTTGTTGGAGTAGTATTTGAACTTGCATTCACACTCTCAGTGGGTGGAGGACCTAATACACTAGCTGTTGGGTTGGGGGTGGTCTCCTTTGGTGCCAGAAGCTGATTGGGAGCGAAATGGTTAGCTCGGTTGCTTGTGTAACCGATTTCGTTCCTCGATTAGTCGAGCGACTCCTATTGCATCTGCCAAGGTCGTTGGCTGCTTAATTTTTACATCGAGGTGAATGTCATCACGAAGTCCTGCAATAAAACAACCAATGATAAAAATTTTAGGTAGGCCGTCAACACGATGAGAAGCTTTTCAAAAGCTTCCTGATAAGTTGCAACAGTTGAGTCTTGTTTAAGCCGAGTTAGGGCTTCCGACGAGTCTTCGTAGTCTGTTGGACCAAAACGGAGAAGGACAGCTTTGGTGAATTTATCTCATGTAAGTGGTCCGCAAAATTTCGTCAACCACCGGTTCCATTGTAGGGTGATGTCGTCAAGATGGAAGGATGCTAGCGGAACTCGTTGGTCAGAGGAAATATTTTTGAAATCAAAATATTGTTCTGCTTTGTAGATTCAGCCAATTGGGTCCTCGCCCTTGAACATTGGAAAGAGCAATTTGAGGTGCTGGTGACAGTGGTCATTATTGTTGGTAGAACGAGCAACCTGTGGTGAATGTGAGGATTCTCCTGGAGCAAATGAGTTAGTTTCAAGATTATTAGTATGTGGGCGCCGGACGGTTTGTAGAGCTTGATGTTCTGTTAACATCATTTGGAGTGCAGCATTAATTTGATCAAAGCTGGACTCATGTCGTGTTAAGATTTCTTTGACCTCATTGCGGAATTCGACATTCGTTTTGCTGCGAGTGTCCATGGTCGAAACTTGGCTCTGATACCAATGATGAGGTTGAATTTGATAGAGGAAGAAGAAGAGGAACAGAGGAAGAAGATAGAGAGAAGAACTAGAAGATAAGCAAACAATAATTTTCATTCATACCATCATCTCCATTACAACAACTATATAAAACTACACTAATATTATCTCTACCCACTAACACCACTCTTCTAGCTACCCACAAAACATAACTATCCACTAAGTAAAACACAAGTTACACAACTACCAACTTATCCACTTTGTGAATGGTGGTGGCACATTTTTATATACTTTTGATGAAAAGTACACATACTCTATATCTTCGATTCAAGGAGTTCCTCTACGTGCACTATCTTAGAATTGACAGAAATCCTCAAGTAATCTTAAATATAAAAGCAATTTCATGTAAATATTTACGACTTAGAGCATCTCCAACCACACCCTCCAAATTTGGCCCTCCAAATTGGAATATTCTAGGAATATTCCAATTTGGAGGGTAAAATTTGGAGGGTTGCTCCAACCCACACCCTCTAAATATTTTTCTTTTTATTTTTTTTGTCAAAGAAGCCATATAAATTAAAGAATGTTGGATATAGTTTACGTTAATAATTTCATTGTTAATAATTTATTTGGGAAAAAAAATTTATAACATTATAAAGGTGTCGATGAGAGCTTTAAAATGAACCCAATATTAATACTGCAATACAACATATCATAAAAGAAGAAATTCTGAAATAACAGTGAAAGCATACATCGATAGAACAAGAAAGCAAATATTAACCTCTAATACAACATACCATAAGTCGCAAACATAAACCTCAAACATAAAATATGATAAGAGACAATTAAAATTCTGGCAGGCCAACGTTCACTTTGATCAACGATCTTACTGAGATCAGTCAATATAATTTGTCTATCCTCACTTTCACGCTGAAGAGGTAATTGTTGGTCACATTGTTCTACTTCTCTAGCTTGTAATTCTAATTTTATCTTTTTATTTTCAAGTTTCATTATCATCAATCGCTCCATTTTTTCCCTGCTCATTTCACGTTTAGCATCCATCTCTTGCATACTCTTAATAATTCCCTCCTCATAACTAAACTCCGCCGAAATTTTTCTCTTTGCCTTCTCTTTCTTTCTTCCAACAGGACGACTAGCTGGGCTGTCCGTGGGAGACAGGCCATCACTCATGTTAACAAAACTTTCCCTCTCCGTGTTCGACTCTGATCCTTCAGAGATGCTCCCAACTGCATGATTGGATTTAGGGTCAGCCCATTTCTCGGCATCCTTGAGGATCGTCCAAACATGATCGAATTGAAATCCTTTCTTTTCTTTAACATCTTCTCCGTACATGATTCTAGCTTGAGTCAACTAACAAAATTACAAACAAAAAATATTAGACAGTTGAAAATGATATTATAAAATCCATAGTAAAAATATATACTTACTATATCGATTTCAGAAGCTCCACTTGGATTCAGTCGCTCGATTTGTCGAACACAACCCCGAAATTTGTTTGCTGCCTTCTTAATTGCGTCCATACGACATTCCAGAGACTTTGGTGACCGTTGTCTATCACCTACCTTCTCATGGAAGACTGCTGTGATCCTTTCCCACATCTTATCTTTCTTTTGACATGTGCCTGAGACTGGGTCTTGAGAAATTTCAAGCCATGCCAAGCACAAGAACTGATCTTCTTGGTTACTGAATGATTTTCCTCGAACAGATGTCATAGTGGATGAAGAAAGATTGGTGGACAAAAGTTTGGGATAAGCTACCAGTATTTATAATACAAGTCTCCTGACGAGCACAAGTGATGGTGGGAATCTGTTGATTGCAAGAAGACAAGCACGAAACTTGATATTGACATGACTGGACATGGCTCTTGGAAACATCACCCGACAAGAAGTGATGGTGGGAATCTGTTGATTGCAAGAAGACAAGCACGAGACTCGATATTGAAACATCACCCGACAAGAAGTGATGGTGGGAATCTGTTAATTGTCCAACGGCTTGGGCGGGACAGTACTCGGGACGTCACGGAGGCCCATCAATGATTCTAGAGGCAGTAGCCTCATATGACTTATGGATATGGCATGCTTTTTTTGGATTACCAGGATCTAACAATGATATTAACGTACTGCAATCTTCATATTTGTTTGACCAACTAGCACAAGGTATTTCTCCTCCTGCTAATTATAGTATTTTAGGAAAGAATTATGATACAGGTTACTACTTGGCCGATGGGATATACCCCAAATGGTCTACTCTTGTACAAACAATATCCCAACCACAAGGGCCTAAGAGGAAGCTCTTTGCTGCTATGCAAGAAGGATATCGAAAAGATGTAGAGCGGGCTTTTGGTGTTCTTCAGTCACGATTTGCCATTATCAAGGGACCATCACGTTTTTGGGACAAGCGGAGACTACACGACATAATGACTGCTTGTATTATACTACATAACATGACTGTGGAGGATGAACGCGATGCAGAACCAGAGATTATTGTTCATGACGAAATTTCAAAACCTGAAGAGATAGATATTGATGATGCCGAACGATTCCAACGATTCCTTGATCGACATAGGAAGATTCAAGATAGGGAAGCTCATTTTATGCTTCGAAACGCACTAATTGAACATTTATGGCAGAAGCACGGCAACGAAGGAATGTAATTTAAATATTGTAATTTATGCTTGTACTTTTTTATGGAGCAAGTTAAATAGATCCCCGTATTTTAAATTTCATGTCTGATACTTATTTATTTAATTTAAAAATTAATAATTTTATAATAATACTAAAATAAATTAATCTTAGTTTTATTTTAAAGATCTCAACGAGCCCTTTCCAAATATATAATGATTTCAAATATTAGATTAATAATTTTTTAACTATATTTATTTGAAATTAAACATCTAATTTAAATTACTAAGAAGGATGGCAAAGTGGTAAATTTTAAGAAATCAAATAGTTAAAAATGGCAAAATTGTAAATAAAACATCATGAATAGGGTTATGGAGAGACCCTCCAAAATTTCTCCCCACCCTCCAAATTTGGAGGGTCAAATTTGGAGATCTCCAAATTTGGAGAGTGGTTGGAGAGGTTCCACCCTCCAAATTTGGAGATTTTGGAGTTTTGGAGGGTGGTTGGAGATGGTCTTATATCTGATGGGTTGGGTTGGGCTGAAGCTTCGATATAGGATCAGGTCTCTATTCACATGTAATGCGGACGTGTGGTAGAGCAGATTAAACTTTTTAGTTATTTAAGGATAGATCAAGGGAGTCATATATTTCATTCAATAGACATCAATGTCTAATGTGGCACAATTTTTAACCAAAAAGTTTAAATTATTATGAATTGAACTCAACTCTTATTTAAACTCATCACTTTTATTTTATCTTATCCAATATTATGGGAATTCTCAACAATATTTTCATTCATGCATGATTTGTTCGATGTGTTCTTAATTGGGCCCATGTATAACCTTAGCTCTAATACGATTTTATGGGGAAGTAATCAAGCTCGACATAAAGTTAGTAAGTCCTAAATAGAGACTAGAAACCAAATTTTAACCCAAAAAGTTAAGTGATTAGGTATTGGCCCCAATTTCTATTTAAACACGTCACTTTTTTCTTATCCTATTCAATATGGAGATATACTAAGGGATGTCCATCCGGCCCGGCCCGGCCCGGTCCGGCCCGGGAAACGGGCCCGGGCCGGGCAAAACCGAAGCCCGGACCCGGGCCCAGGTGACCCCGGTCCGGCCCGGGAAACGGGCCCGGGCCGGGCAAAACCGAAGCCCGGACCCGGGCCCGGGGGACCCGGGCCCGGGCCTGAGCGGGCCGGGCTTCGGGCCGGCCCGGTTTTTTCCTATTTTTTAATTTTTTTTAAAAAATTTTAAAAAAATAATAAATTATAAAATATACATAAAAATTATAGAAAATGTCATAAATTTTTTTAATAACTTGAAATGACATAAATTACAAGTACAAAAAATTATTAAAATAAAAGATGATAAAAATAATTTTTTTGTTAATAATCAGTAAATCATTTACAATTATAAATTTATTTTAAAATTTGTCGAATCACAATAAATGAGTAAATCCCAACTAGGTTGGCACCTACTCACCCATATCACTATCATTTGTAACTTTTTTTAAAATAATTCATTACAAATTTAAAGCTAAGAAATAAAAATTATAATTTGATGAATATTATCTAATCTTTATATCTATCTGTTAGTTCCAACTCTTCAAATTTATCTTCAATTATAGCAATCCGATCGATGCCTTGTGTTCGCTTCTCATACATTCACCAATCTTGTAAGCACATCACCACTTGTATAGTATACGGATCTAAGCATGTCCTGTGGTCGTCGATCAAACGTCCTGCTATGCTGAAGGCGGATTTCGAAGCTACCGTCGAAATATGCACTAATAGTAAGTCACGAACCATGGTGGAAAGTATAGGATATGAAACTGATCCATATACTCTCTACCATTGTAAGTATTTCCTTGACATTTAACTAAGGAAGCAGAAAAATATTCATCTAATTCAGAAACCTCTAATCCTAAACCAATTCCAGATCCACCAGTTAGTTCAGCTACTATTGCATACCTATCAAAACTTACACTTTTACCTCGACCTGTGCTCGAAGCCGAAGGCGCTGAAGCTGTAGACTGTTGTATAGCTACACCATGTCTAGCTGCATACTCATCATATAATGTTTGAAAATAATTTCTAATAGATAAATAATGAAAAGTAGCAGTAAGGATGGAACCATCATCTAAGTCTATAATCTGTCCACCATACAATAACTGTAACAAACTTCGAAGACCAATATCCTTCAAACATGGATCATGAAGAATCCCCAAACCAAAAATATGAGGAATAGGCCTAAAATACTTATTAAATTTTCTCTCCATTTAAAAAATTATATTTCCAAAAATATCATCCATACGATATTTGGTAAAAAAAATTTGAATATTTAAAATTTGTAAAGCATCTAAAGTAATAGTTAGATAATAACAACCAGATAATAACATAGTAGCATCATAAAAAACTTGTAACATCTCATTTAATTTATATATAATTATCCATTCATCTTCACTTATTCCATAAGTGCTACCAGAGCTAGAACTAGAAGCATAAAAATTTATAAAATTATTTATAATTTCTTTATATTCTATTGCTACACTTAACATTGCATATGTGAAATTCCACCTATGGTCAACATCTTTTGGAATTAGTCTAGGCTTATAATTTTTTCTTTTACAACATTGTTTTTATCTTTTAATTCTCATTTCAGAAGCATTATGCATATTAGCAACTGTTCTAACATTTTCTATCATGGGTTTAATTTCAGAAAATGCACTTTAAACAATTAAATTTAAAATATGACAGATATATCTAACATGAAAAAGGTCACCATGACATGGCAATGACAGAGTTGTTTTAATAAAATCAACAGCTACATTGTTATTACTTTCATTATCTAGTGAAAGAGAAAATATTCTTTGATCAATTTCTAGTTTCATAAGTTCTTTAATTATTAAATTTGTAATATTAATACTAGTGTGTGACTCTTCAATTGCAATAAAAGAAACAACTCTTTTAAATATTTACCAATTTTTATCAATCTAGTGTGCTGTGGTACATAAATAACCAGTTTGTACTCTAGATGTCCAAATATCAGAAGTTAAAGAAAATTTACATTTTAAATTTTTAAAATAAGAAATTATTTTTCCTTATTCCTCCTGATAATATTTTAAAATATTACGTTGACAGGTTTGACAAGAAAATTTTATAAATGCAGGATAAAAGCTATCTCTAAACAAATCTTCAAATTCATCATCTTCTACTAATTTAAAAGGCAGGTTTTTAAGAACAATAAACCTGATTATGCATTTCCTAGCTCGGCCAGCGTCATAATTCCAACTACCGAGGGTACCAGAAGAGAAGGATTAGGAAATCATAGACTGTCGGATATCACCTTGAAGATTTTGGCCTTTGTTGTATTTTTCTATATGACATTTGAGATGGTTGGTGCAGCTCTTATGATGAGCTTGAAAAACCTGGTCGCACAACGCACATTTTACCTTCTGGGAGATGATCCTACCGTGTTCATCCTTGGTGACGTCTATCTTCTCAAAAAAAAATCCACACATCGGATTTCGGCCTTTTAGGAGCTCTTAGTGCAGTAGATTCGTCGCCACCAGATTCAGGACTAATACCGGTAGGAGGAGTAGTTGTTGTAGGAGGATTCATTTTTGGATTGGTAGGAGATAGGTGTTGCTCTTCATAATCAGATCCAGAAGCCATTTGATAGAAGTATTAGAAAATATAAGAGAGTATAATATTGTATAAAAGAGTATTAGATAGAAGTAGAAGAGTTTTGGTGTGAGGAGAAGAAGTGAAAACCCCCTTCTATTTATAGAGCCAGCCCTCTAGACAAATGATCTAAAAACTCTAATATTCTAGTCGTTTTTTGACCGTTTTAAGGGGCAAATCGGTTAAATGGCCAAATATGACCATTTGGTCGGTCCAGACCGGGCCAGGTCGGCCCGGCCAAAACGGTCAGTTTTTTGACCGTTTTGGTCGGTCCGGGCCGGGCCGGCATAAACGGTCAAAAATGACCGGGTCGGGTTGGCCCGGCCCAGCCCGGTTTTTTTCATTAACGGTCACCTCAGGGTGGCCGTTATTGCCTGGGACGGGCCCGGCCCGGCCCGGTGCCGGAACGGACGGTCCCGACCGGGCGACTTTGCGCCGACCCGGACCGGGCCAGGACCCGCGTTCCCGGGCCGGGCGTCCCGGTTTCCCGGCCGGGTCCCGGGCCCGGGCCGGGCTCCGGGCCGGAGCCCGGGCCGAGCCCGGGCCTGGGCTAAGGGCTTTTTGGACACCCCTAGATATACTCATATATGAATTCTCAACACTTATGAATATGCTAGTGAAAATAACATCTAATAGTAAGGAACTTCGTTAAATTATTCTTTCTTAATTATTAATTTCTTACAATTGGGGGGCAAGGGTTGTTTATGGCATCACAATCCTCATTCGAATTTTCTTTGGCTACCTATGTGTTGTTGGAAATTTATCAAATAAATAAAGATTATAGCATGAATTTAAACCCGGAAATTAAATAAATAATACATCAAAGATAGATAATATAAATTAGAGAAACAGGCCTGACGGGAGCAGTCTTGGAAATTTATCAAATAATTAAGATTATAGCATGCAGATAAATCCGAAAAAATAAACAATTAAAACTGGCCTGATCGGGAGCAGTCGTGTATTCACTGTCCTAGAAGATTGAGAACCCGTCTATCGTCCTGGCGCAGATGGTTCCCTCCCCCCTAGTGGTAAAAGCCCTCAGAAACGGCCGGCCTCTACACTCGGGCGAGAATGCAGAGCTTCAGCTCAGATGAAGGAAGTTGCCCATAAAATAAAACTAAGATGTAGATGAAAATAATATGTAGGGGAGAGAAGAAAAACAAGAGAAACTTGTTGTATATTTTCCTTATCATTTTGAGCTTAACATATGGATATATATATAGGGTTGGAAAAGACGTTACAAAACCCGTAATTAATTCTGTAACGTTCGTCATAAATTTTGTAACGTTCCCCATAATTATATAGCCGTTACACATATTTTTAATTGCTAATTAAAACATGTTTT